ATTGAGTAAGTATCAAGATTATGAAATTTAGAGGCTGGGGGTGTATTACTGAATTCAGTAACTGAAATAATTCCAGTTTTGCTAGCATTCAGGCCCGTTTAGGGGGGTGTATTACTGAATCCACTAAGATCTATTCTAATATCCTTTCTAAGCCCATTCGCCTCAGCAAAAAAACATGTTTCCATATTTTTTGCTTATTTAACTTGTCACGTTTTTTTCTTTTATAATTTTAATATTCATCAATTGGACCACCAATCAGAAATCTGTTCCTTGTACCATTATTCAAAAAACAAAAAATGCCAGAAAATAACAAAATGAATTGCGTTCTGATTGGATGACAGGGATTAACATGATCCCACTATTGAATGCCACATCTAGGGTCATGAGCTTAGTCTGAGTGTTTGTTGCAAGTATCAACGAGAGAGAGAATGTGAGTTTGTTTAATGAAATAGTAGAGTTTGCTATGATTCTTCACGGTTGAAAATAAGGAGGTGAGAGAGAAAGTGAAGTTGTTATTGTGATCAAAGATGAAAAAGAGAGCCATAGGTTGTTACTGCTTTTCTAACTGAATCATGATGGTTGTAACTAAATCCTTACGATGAAGAATAAAACTTTTATATCTGGTTGGCGCGTGTGTATTCACCGTCCAAATTTTTTCATGAGTTTTTATTTTGAATAAAAAGAGGTAGATAGTGAAGTTCACGGGTTTGTGATGTGGTGTTGTTGTTTTTTAGAAGAAAATGGAGAACGGTGTTTGTTACGGTTGTTATCAAAACTCCTCTAACCGTTTTCTGTTATCATTCTCACTGAAAGGATAGCCTCCAAGTTTTATATTTATCAAGTGGTTTGGAGTATATTAACACCTGGACACCCTGTTAATTCACAAGCATTTAAAAATGTCTTTCTATGTAGAGCAAAGAAAAAAATCCCTCATGCATGTATGTAGTATTTTCCTGTCTTAAAGGAGTAGTGTGATAGTGATGCGCGTACAGAAAGTTCATGATGCTCAACTATGCCAGCCTCAGCAATACAAATTCTGACCATTAAATAAAATGGTTGTGCGGCTCTCGTCAAATACTCATATCTTGACCTATGGTGCTCCTCGTGCTACAAAACATGGATCAAAAGAGAGAGTACGTGGAGGTGTACATCATTGACTTTAAACATTTCTTGACACAAAGCCTACAACCTCGTGCAATAAGGCCTCGAAGATCAATCCTCCAGTCTGCATTCTAACTCAGAAAACTTTTTAAGTTACTCACCATTTTAACAATTCTAGGTTCATGACTCCTACGGCCTATAACTCAACAATAAATGGTCCAAAAGTTGACTTCTTGGGATCAAGATCAAGATTGCAATTTATAAAACAATATTGATGTTGGCCTCGAGTCAAAGCAACGCTTGTAGCATGCTTTAGAATGGCCATGAAGTAAGGAAATCGCAACTAACAGAAACACCGGTAATTTTGCCAACACCACCAATTATCCATCAACATCATATCCTCCACTTAATAGTTTAATAACAAGAAATGTAGGACTCTTCAGGATGAGGTCTCGAAATCAAAGTTGAAGATAGAATTTCTCTGAACAGTTTTCATGTTGAAAGTTTCTTGAGATAACGCCCAAAAAATGCTTACAAATAGTCGCGAAGTCGTGATATCAAAACTGGTTATAGCATCTGAAACTTTACTATGCTCAAAATCCAATCATTAACTTCATTCTTGTGATTTCAAAACCCAATAATTTTCTCAATAATGATCCAAATTAGGCAAACTTTATGTTGTTGGAAAGAGAAAAAATGATACAACAACTTTGTAGTTAACTACACTTTGATATAATGCCTGCGGCGACATGAAAATTGAGCTAAAAGATAGCTACCTGGCCATTTTGAAAACATTCAAAATTTCACTAAGTATAGAAATTCAAAAGTTATGAGCATTCATCTTCCATGCCTTATAACTCAAAATCTAAGCACTTTTTGGAGATAAGTCCTCAAGGACAAAAATGGTGTATGAAATTTCTTCTTTCTAATGAGCATAAATTTGGAACTTTCTGGCCACACATGAATGAGATATAGGGCTGCAAAGATGGCTAGATGAACATAAATTCTTAAAACTTAGAAAAATTTCTAAGTGTCCAAATTAATTAAAATGCAAGAAACTTCAAATTTGGCCGATTCTTTCAAATTTTCTCAACAAATTATCACATTTTCTCTCATTTTGATTTTTGACAATAATTTTGACCAAAATCCCATTTGGTAAACCTTTGACTTTTTGTTGACTTTTGCTTATACACACTCAATCTCTTCTTATTCAATCAATCTTGTTTTTTTCTGATAAATTATGGAGATCAGTAGACCACATGCAAATTCTTTAATACCAATAGAAGACCTTGGAACAATTTTAAGCTCAAAGATTCATTCATAACATGCCAATGATCAAAAACCCTTATTAGCAGCCACAATTTCAAAGATATTGATCAGAGCTCCAAACCCTGATCTGAATGAGGTATATTGACAAATCTCTTTAACCATCGGGTCTCATGCATTTGGAACATACCTGTGATGATGAGACATCTGATATTGAACCCTTGTAGATAAAATGTCTTCCCTTGATTAGTATATACTCACCCAACCAAAACCCTTGATCACATATCATTGAGTTAATGCAATGCAAATGATGAATATGATGATGAAGCATAAGCTATTTTGTTTATAAGTAAGAGGGAAAATTTTAGGGTACAACTAGGTCCAATTTCCCCTTCACGCAACTTCGAGTACAAACTTTTCAAGATTCTAATGCTTGGGGTAATGCATATTGTAGCGGTGAAAATCGGAGATCAAGCTATTAATTAACTTGACTCACCAAAGCAAGAGTCGCCACCGCGCTTTATTATTTCCAAGGGAAAAGGGAAAAGAGCGAAATAAAACCCTAAAATATGTAATGTAAAATAATACTTAAAAGTAATAAAAATACAATGCGTTTTTGAAAGAGATCGAGAGTTCGGGAGTTGGTTATACAACGGGAAGGTATTAGCACCCAATGCATCTGTGGTACTCCGCAGGAACCTTTTGAAATATCTGTTTTTGGTTAAAATTGTTTGCTTGATTAAAATGGTTTGTTTGGTTAAAGATGGGTATGGGCGATATTTTTGAAGATACGACGACCTAGTGTCGAAGTTTTGACTTAAAAGGTGTGAGTTTAAAAATTGAATCTTTTGGGAAAATTATCTTAGGTTTAACAAAATAGTAAACAAACAAAAGATGAATGAGGATATTCGCACGATTGGATGAGATGTGTTTGATAACATGAAGTCAACAAAGTTAAAACATTTCCCTTGGATTAAATCGAGCGAGCAAAATAAAATAGACATCAAAATATAAGCAATCAAAATTCATAAGAAAATAAATATAACGAAACAGATTAATGACCTAAAGGCATCGAGAAATTAAAATGACAAAGATATTTGAATAAAATAAAAGGGAATGTAACTAATTATCTAAAGAAGTTATTTAAACTAAATTAAAAATTTAAGATTACTTACTAAAAAAATTCTAAACTAACTACAAATTCTAAGGTTACAAAAATAGTTTTAAAATTACTAAATTAGATCTAAGCTAAATTAAAAATTTTAAAATTAGTAAATTAAATCTAAACTAAATAAAAATTCCAAGGTTGCTAATCTAAAACAAAAAAAGTTCCAAAGTTACTAAACTAAATCTAAATCAAATAAAATTCTAAAAGAATATTAAACTAATTCTAAACAACTAAAATTCTAAACTTATTAAACTAATTCTAAATCAAATAAAAATTATAAACTCATTAAACTAATTCTAAATCAAATAAAGTTCTAAAGTCCCTAAACTAAAACTAACAACTAAAATTCTAAAGTTAACTTAAATAAAATCAAATAAAATTCTAAAGTTTACTAAATTAAAACTAAACAAATAAAATTCTAAAATTTACTAAGTCAAATCTAAATGAAATAAAATCCTAAAGTTACTAAAATAAAACTAAACAAAATAAAATTCTAAAGTTTACTAAGTCAAAACTAAAACAAATAAAATTCTAAAATTTACTAAGTCAAATCTAAATGAAATAAAATCCTAAAGTTACTAAAATAAACTAAACAAAAATAAAATTCTAAAGTTACTAAAATAAAACTAAAACAAATAAAATTCTAAAGTTACTAATTATGATTCTAAATATTTTAAAATTATAAAATAAATCTAAACTAATTAAAAAATTCTAAATTAATACTAAACTAAATCTAAATATAAGATTTACTAATATATATTTTTTTTAATATTTTTTTTTAAGATAGTTGGGCTAGGAGTGTATATTGAATTGGAGATGCAACAATAATTGGTATATAGACCTGATGCCCATTTTATATATAAACCCAATTTAAATAATAGTAATAATTAAAACAAATATTAAATGATAAAAAAAAATTTAACTGCCATTTGTTTCACGCTTCAGCAAGAAGCTGATGTTGAAACTTTGACCCTTTCCACTATTCCAAACCAACCACTCAAGACATGACACGTGGCATTAGAAATTAAAAGAAAAGAGAAAAAAAGGAAATATGATATATAATGAAATAAAATAAACAAAAAGCATAAATAAAATAAATGAAAAAGGGAATTAACATCCAAAAACCCACCTAGGACAAGAGACTGGCATTTATGGTCTATATGAAAATCATTTCTGGTTTCAACTTAACTACGACTTCAGCAAGGAAATTACAGTAGCTATTTTAGTAATCATAAATCTGCTCTGCCAGGGTACCTTGGGAAGGGAATCAGATCTAGGTACCATTCATATGGCTCAACAGGCAGATCCATCTCCTTTATTCTTTGTTGAATGACATCATAACGCTCTTCCCTTTGGCTTCCACCAATTAACTCTCCAACCTTTGGGACAAGAACATCCATAGCAACTACTGTGAATTGATGGTGGAGATTGGACAGAAATAGGTGGTGTTACGGTGGTTCGGTGGATGACGGTTGGTGTTGTGAAGCTAGCTAGCGGAGAAAGAAATGGGAGATTAGAAGTAGCTAGTGAGGTAGAAAACGAAAGTGGAAAGTGTGATTCACGGTGGTGTTGTTTCATGAATCAGAGGCAGAGGGATTCGTGTATGAGGAGTATTGATGAAAGTTGGTGTGGAGGGAGTTTGCGTGTGGATACAGTGGGTTGGGGTTATGGAAATTGGAAGATGGATGGGAGTTCACAGGCGGAAGAGATGAAGGTTTTATTGTTGTAAGTGAGTTGATGGTGATGGCGTGATAGCCGGTTTGATGAAAGAAGTAGAGGCAATTTGTAGTTGTAATGGAAAAAGGTGAGAGTGTATGTGCTAATGCTTTTTGTTCTTGTTGTTAGGAAGAGAAAAGAAGGATAGAAAGTTAAAAGGAAAAGTGGATTACTGCTACTGTTATTTGTTTTTTTTTTGTTGTTTTTTTTTTGTTGTCCTTTGCAAAGAAAATAAGAGACCTTTAAATAGAACAGTGAAGAGGAAAATTGATTTCAAGAACTGATCAGAACCGTTCAAAATCATTAATCCGCAAATTAAGTTATCAACCAATAGAAATAGAGCAAGGTGTATTTAATTTTTTTTATGACAAAAACGCCCTTAAATGGAATAAAAACTGAAAATATTAAAATTAATTCAATTTAAAATAATTTTTTTGAATAAAAAATAAAGAGCTAAAATAACCGAAAACAATAAAAAAAACGGACAAAAATTTATCCGAAAAAAATAAAATGAACACATTAAAATAAACTACATGTCACAAAGATTAAATAAAAAATATTCAAAAAGTCGAAATCAAAATAAAATGATAATAAAAATATCGGGCTAAAACAGATGTTTACGGTTAAAAACGAGGCTTCAAATTGTATCGAAAAAAATAAAGCGAGCATACCGTCATAATCTACGCGAAACGCCGATTCATAAAATGATCGGTAAAAGGTGAAAACTTGAAATATTTTTTCTCACTAATTTTCCGCACAGTGTCGAATCGCTTTTAACAATCTGTCTATAAAACCGAAATATTTTTATTATCAACATATAAACAACTTGGAGCAATGCAAGAAACGAGTAAAGAGATAAAAATGCATGAAGTGAAATGTCGGGTATTTTACAACTTAAAGACGATGCAAATTTTGATTTAAACTGACTTTTCCTGGTCAACTTAAATACGACTAATGATGCAAAATGTGATGAATGAATATATTTACTAATGATTGTGACCAAATGATAAAATATGGTATGAATGTGCGACTGAAAAAATTAGGGGCGAAATTAAGGGTGCAACGGTGTGCCTTGATGAATCAGTCTTCGAGAATCCACAATCAACCGTACTTCTGGCTTGGGAGACTCAAAACCTTAATTGAGGCGCGACACCTGATGCTCTTGATTCAGACCTGTCTCTGCACATGAAACAAAAGAAAACATGAACATACACCTTTGTATGCGATTAGAAATTAGTGATACATAGGCTAAAAATGTTCAAAACACTTGACAATCTTCGCATAGTCAAAGCTCAATGGTGAGACGTTAAAACCGACCGTATTTTGTGACCTTGACTTATCTTTAAAAAATGCAAAAATAAAAATGGGATCTTAGGTCAAAAATTGGGGTACAACAGCTGCCCCTATTTAAGTTTCTTCTATCTGGAGATATGAAGATTGGGATCTTCATTTCGACGAGATTGAAGGGACTTAAATATAGAATACACAATTTTTGGCCTTAAGATACCGCGATTATGTTCATGATATGATATAAATGTAATGCTCTAAATTTTATGGGGAATGACGCCATATAAGACAGACTATGCTGGAGAAACCAAGCACATTATACAGTAATCCCACAAAGGAAGAGGTTGTAACTCCACTGGGGAAACAAACTCATAGACTTCAAATGAGAAACTCTTGAATGATTTACATCAGTGTTGAGACTGGAAAAGAAATGATTTACATCAGCGCTGTGACTGGAAAAGCATATGATTGACATCAGTACTGTGACTGGAAAAGGAAATGATGAACATCAGTACTGAGACTGGAAAATGATTGACATCAGCACTGTGGCTGGAAAACAAAATGATTGACATCAGCACTGAGACTGGAAAACAAAATGATTGACATCAGCACTGTGGATGGAAAACAAAATGATTGACATCAGCACTGTGGCTGGAGATAAACATCTCTGATTTCTGAATTTTACCAAGAACGGTAGCACATTTCTTCTTTAACCAAGATATCGCTTGAAAAGGATAAAATAACAAACTTCCCCACGGGACTTTTCCGAAGGGATGCCATTTGCTGAGTAAACATTATTGTTGGGGATACACAAGCTACCCCAAATAAAGAGGCCGCCACTTGCTTCCTTTCGAAGGTGTCAATAACATACAAGCTGCTCATGAAGAGACCGCCACTTGCTGTCTTCAAAGAATATTAAAGCACACAAGCTGCTCATGAAGAGTCCGCCACTTGTTGCCAAAAACCCACAAACTGCTCATAAAGAAGCTGCCACTTGCTGTCTTCAAAGAATATCAAAGCACACAAGCTGCTCATGAAGAAGCTGCCACTTGTTGCCAAAAACCCACAAGCTGCTCATAAAGAAGCTGCCACTTGCTGTCTTCCAAAAATACTAACGTACAAGCTGCTCATGAAGAAGCTGCCACTTGCCATTTTCGTACAAGCTGCTCATGAAGAGACCGCCACTTGCCGTTTTCAAAAAAGTGTTGATATCATACAAGTTGTCCATGAAGAGACTGCCGCTTGCTGTTTTTAAAAGTGTTGATAACATACAAGTTGTCCATGAAGAGACTGTCGCTTGCTGTTTTTTCAAAGATACCCATAAAATATCATGAAGATATTGCTGGAGGTGAGAATCAATAATTTCATCGAGGATGGACAAACTGCTCATGAAGAGACCGCCATTTGTCGTAGAGAAATCAGAAATAATCAAACTGCTCAAATAAAGAGTCAGTCGCTTGTTGTCATGTCGATATTCCAGAAGAAGGTTGTGATAACACTGCTGGGGAATAAAGTTCATCTTCAATGGGGAACCATGAATAAATCCTTCTTGAGGAGATCAAGTATTTACGTTGCAAAATAAATGCACTCTCCATCTAGGTTTCACAACCTAGAGAGATCCACAGGGTATCGTTCACAAGAGACAAAGCTCAATCCAGGAATAAACTGGAGAGAAAATAGTCAAACAAGACTCCGCCTAATGAGGAAACAACTCAAATGGGGATTTATCCTATCCAGAGATGGAAAAGGAAAGCTAAAGCAAGATTCTTCCACGAGAGTTAACTCAGTGGGGAATTAGAAAAGAGGCGCACTTTCTGCTTAAGTTGACACTCTATTTGGAAAGATCAAATACGCTATTTGAATAGACATAACCAAGGTATACGAACTCAAAGATATCAACAAATACAAATGTGCGTGCATGATGCAAGTATGAACGAATGAATGAATGTCATGTATATGTTGACAAAACAGACAGGGGAGATAGACAGAAGATGATAAGACGTCCCAGTACAACCCGACGCTTAGCTAATCTCAACAAAAGGGGAACATTACTGGAGATAAAAACAAAAGCCATCATTGGAGCAAAGTCCTTTTACAAGGCTTAAATCTCTTTGGAGAGGAAGATATTTTTCGGTAGAAAACCCAAAGTCTAATCTTCTAATGTCGATAATTCGTTGAAAGGATAACAACACGAACAATGCTTCAGCTGGAAAAAAGTCTTGCTTAGCTGGAGATACTGGAAAACCACCCTCTGATGATGTGTGCAAAACATATCACACATCTTGACAAATCTGGATTGCCTCTGGGACTAATTTTGGATGCCCCAAGTTTATTGCTGATAAGCTGCGTGATGCACGATAATTCTTGCAAATAACTTCACTTCTAAAAATGCCCCAAGCTATATGGCTGATGAGGAGAAATCGTCTCAAAAGGATTTTACAAAAGACCTGGCATCCACCATACTCTGGTCTCTTCAAACTCTTAGAGAGATTCATCGAATCTCGACGTGATTGCCCCGAATTGACTGTAGTTGGTACAACAAAGTCTTCAAATTTTGCCCCAACAGGGTAAACAAGTTGGGAAAGCATTAATTAGGAGAAGCAACATGTCCGTGCTTAAGGTCTTCAGGTGACATGCCCCTGCATATGATTTTTCTTGAAATGATCCGCCAATTACTCAACAGAGCTTCGGGCCTTAAGAATAGACTCGTCACTGGTGCTTATGTGAGCTTCCTTGATATCAAACAAATGCTTTGCAGTTAGAAAAAGTTTATAATGAGAATGAAAATTCTAATGCAACAGTTATGTAAGTCTTGAAGATTTTGAAAGATATCGCACAAATTTTGCGAATTAAAGCACCATTATTTTTGTATAGGAAAAACATATGATACCAACATAACTATTTAGAACATTCATGGGAGTCAGGAACACTATCTCATTGAAGTATGCTTTCAAAATAACCTTGCTTCAATTAGGACTTTTGAAGGTTGTAACGTGGTCTGGTTCATGGTTTTTAGAAAAAGATTTTAAGGCTCAAAATATTTGGTGCCCACCCATTCTTCATGATGCTCTCCAACCCTATGTTCAGTTAATTCAAACATGAGTGTTCATCTCTCAAAGGGATTTTGTGACGGTCGAGGAAACGACAAGGCTTTCGGAGTAGAAACCACCCTCATGTCTTCGTGTTTGTAGTCACCAATTTGTTCTTTGCTGAGGACTTTTCTTTGCAGTCCTTTTCTTTGCAATTTTTATTTTCCCTAACTTTTGCCTGAACTAATTCTTTTGAATTGATAGTCCAGCGGGATGCCTTAATTTTGCCTAAGTCACACGTTTTCATGTTTTTTGACTTAGCAGGCTTTTTCTTTTTCTCGATTTTTGACTTTTTGAACAAAAAGTATGACATTAGCTTGTATTTGCTTGTTGAGAAGATTGTGATTGCCTCGTTTCTTGATGAATGAGGGATAACATTGTGATTCCACATCTTCTGGCTTCATTATACATGAAGGATGGCCCTCGCAGTTTCTCTTCAGAAATATCTTCCTTATGAATTTTGAACAACCAATCGGATTAACTGAAAACTACCCTGCCCCAGGTTAAAATTCAAGGTTTTTTCGTATAGAAAAGAAACTCCTACTTCAAGGCTCAAAAGGGGTTATCAAGGGATTATCTTCCTTATATCTTCGGTGTTTAGGGATTTGAAACAATGCCTGTACATCGTCAGCAAGATTTTATTCAAAAAGCATACAACCAGAGATTTTGTGTTTTTTCAGATCATCATCATCCCTTCAATCTCTGCCTAGGCAAGAGAATGGGCAACAAGTTGGTATCATAATGCAAAAAGAAATTTAAAATTTGAAAACAA